TCAACCACTTGGTTAAAAACAAACCACATCTTTTTTATATGCTAATATCTCGGTTTTTTGGATGTTATTCTAGTATTATTAATTTTAAGGAGTTTGGGATGTCAATTGTTATGCCTAAAAAATCAAGGCTGATGTAAGCTTATATCAGTGAGTGATGTGACTAAATCAACACTAGCAAGTGCATTAGTTGTGTTCAAGTAATAAAGTGATGAGTTTGAGTATCTTCCCATAGAGATCAAAGCAAATATTTGTAATTACCTAAAGCTACATACATGTTATTTGAGAAAATGAAAGTTTAAAGTGTAACACTAATGGATTAAAAATAACTAAATTAAACAAATAAACAATGTGAAGAACTTTGCAATATTAATGAGGTTAGGGTACAACTTTCCCCCATTTATGCTTAACAACTACTCTTAACCTGTTTGTGCTATGAATTGGTAGGATTCTTTTAAGACCAATTATCCTTATTTAGGCAAAATATTCAACTTAATACAAATCTCTATTCAGTTACTCTAAAATTAAGAAGCATAAATTCATCAATCCCTTATGACTAATTCGCCCTATTCGGTTATGAATTAGGTGGACCACTAATTAATCCTAGAATCTCTATTCGATTACTTCTAGTTTTAATATGTTGTGCAATGTTATTCTCGTAGAGCAATTATGACTATGAATTAAACAATAAACCATAACTCCTCTATTCGAAACATTGTCAAGGCAATTGTATCAATCAAAATTTAAGTCACCACAGCCTAGGTCGTGGTGCTTTCTGGTCTCTTTGTTTTATCTTAATTCCATCACCATGGCCATTGTGAATCACCAAGGCATTGCCGTGGCCTTCAAGAATATTAGTTAGTCTCAACTTCTTCGAGCTTTAAGTCCCAATTTCACTCCAATGCTCCAATCTACTCAATCAAAGCCTAAAAAATACAAAAACTATCCAAATCAATAGCTAACCATTCATATCTCAAACTTAATAAAAACTAAAAATAAAACAAAGAAAACAAATGAGAAATTAACTAAACTAACATCAAAACAACCCTAAAAACACTCAAATTGTGCAACTTATCAGCGAGCACCAATCAGAGATCAAGAGGGCTTTGTACTGTCTAGAATTTGCCAGGTCGCCCCAAGGCAGAGAGAATACGGCTGTCACCAACTTAGCAAGCTCAAGTTTAGTCTGTAAATGAGTAAGGTCCGCACATCTGTCCAAGCCCCATATAATTTAAGGATATTTCCTAAGTTATCAGCCAATAGGATGCAAGGAAGAACTTGCACGACACCTATCCACTTGTAGACTTGTAATCATTATCTTAAATTTAGCGGCTATAAATAGAAGACTCCCTCTCACAAAATCGGGATCTCCGATTTTTATAAAAGCAAATAGCAAAGACAACCTACGGGAAAGAGACTGGCTTAATATTCTCTCTTAATTCCAAGCTCTTATACTTATGTTCACAGTTCGTGACCTATTGTAACTTAGCTTATAACCAAGAACACTCATATAAAAGAAAACAGTCAATGTAGGAATTACTCTAAGCAACTAAATCACTATAAAATTCTCACTGTCTCATTTATTATTTAGTCTTTGCATGTTAATGTGACCTTAATCCAAATCTCAAGTCAATCACGTATAATTTCTAAGACCTACTTCATGCTTTGCACGTGCAAGTTCATTGATGTCAAAAGCACACATCAACATTAATCATTTAAAATTTATATCTATTCAAGCCTATGTATAATCCATGATGACGGGAATTAGACAGCTCACCACATTTCTTGTTAATCTTGACAACAATAATTTTGAATCTAGGGTCTTGATATGTAACGCCCCACTTGAGGTACGTAGCTAATTTATGTTGCATTGCTTGAATGTTCATTGATTTGCCCTCATTTGAGTTGTATGTTGTTATTATTGGTTGGTTGGTCCTTGGTTGAATTTATGTGTTGGTTTGGTTAAATGTTTGCCTTGAAATTGGTTAAGACTTGGGGAATTTTGGAGTTACAGTCTTCGTCGGGGCGAGGAATAGTCTTCGCCGCGGCAACGTAGGCTCTGGAATTCTTCGTCAGAGCGTTGACAAAGACTTCACCACAGCGACAGAAAAGACTTTGCCGCAGCAATGAGCCGGCTGAAAAGTTGGCTGAAGTTTCTAGAGAATTTTTCATAGGGGTAAAATGACCTTCCACCCCTAATTAACAAGAAAAGTGGGGAGTGAAATGTAAGAAAATTTCATAGAGAATGTGTTAGAGTTGGGGGTGTGAGTGCAATGAATTAAAGGACAAAGATGGAATTTCTAAGAAAGAGCAAGGGCAAAATGGGAATGCATGTGTAAACTATGAGCTAAAAAGGGATTAAGCTTAGTAAACCCTTCATTTTCTCTTCTCCACCGCCATTCCCATTCACCATTTTCTCTCAACTCTTCATTCCATCTTTCAAGGATTTTAGAGGGCTCTTTGAGTAGTTTTGGTAGAAAGTTAATCTAAAGCATCCTAAGGTAAGGATTCTTGCTTTAGATGTGAAATTTGATTATAGTTTTGTTTAAGTCTTATGGTGTTATTGTTTAAAGTTGTAGAGAAAAGACAAGCAACCAAAGGAAAAGAGAAGTGCTAGTGGAATCACCCCATCATAAGGTAAGTAAATCCAACCCAAGTTGAGATTTAAGGAATCTTTTGAGTAGAGATTTATGAATGCATGTATATGTTATGTAGATGAGATGTGATTTGAGCTCATGGTTGTTGGATATGTTTACATTATGAGTAGTGTTTGATGTGTGAAGAGAGATTGAAATTGAGTTGAAGTTGGAGGAGTTTTGCATGAATCTTTGTGGGAGTGTTTTTCCTTGATAGGAATTAAGAGTATATGAGGGAGTTTCCTCCCAAATTGGATGGTTAAAGAGAGAAGAAAAGTTATAGTTAAAGTAGAGTTTTTCTATGCATATGGGTTGTTTGATGAAATGCCTAAGAAAAGTATGAGTATAAGTAGAGAATCTTAATTCTTGCAACATTTCATATTGGCATTTCATGAGTGCATTTAATGAGCATTAGCCATCCATATGCATTAATTGTGCACTTGAGAAGTAGCTTGAGAAAGAGTAGAGAATTTTGAGAATAAGCTACTTTAAGAGTAAAGAGAAAGAGAGAATGAGCACTAGAGAACAAAAGGAGAGAGTAGTGTTAAAGAAGAGAATAGAGTAGGTTGTGTGATGGGAAACCCGTGAGTGATGAGTGGAAGTCACGGAAAGTGGAACGCAAGGTTCCGGCCATGCCTCCAATAAGATGGGGCCGTGACATTCAAGAGAGAGAGAATACACACTCACGTGGTTAAGGGTTCCAAATCTATGCATAACCGAGTCCGATCAGCAGAAAATGAGTAAAAGTCACGAGAGTGGGATAGGTTCCTGGCCGTGCCTCCGGTAAGATGAGGCTGTGACATTTGAGTGAGTAGAAGTCACAGAAAGGGGGATAAGTTCCCAGCCATGCCTCCGGTAAGATGGGATCGTGACATTCAAGTGAAAAAGAATGAGAAAGAACAGAGAGAGAAAAGTAGAAGTCACGAAGAGTGGGATGAGTCCCAGCCGTGCCTCTAGTAAGATAGAGCCGTGACATTCAAAGAGAGAGTTAGTAGAAAAGAAATGTGAGAAAGAGAAACAAACAGAGAAAACGAGAGAGTAATGTATGGAAAGAATTAAGAGAAAGAGTTGCGGGGATAGTCGAGTAGAAGATTTACTTACTGAGCATTATTTGTGCTCACCCTGTTTTGCAGGATCTAGGTGAGGACGCGGTTGGTTGGATGTTGGTGAGCGAGGGAAAATAACTACACTATCCACCATGTTTTTGATAATTTAGTAGATGATACTAATTTTGTATAAAGAATATATATACTTAATAAAAGAAAAATTTGGGCCCATCTATTTATGTTATCATACATGTATTTTATTATATTTATTTCTATGAGTAACCTAGTATAAAGGAGTTATTACATGATAGCTACATATTTACAGTTTTAGCATGAAATTTAGGTAGAGTATTGCAAGACAGAAATGGTTACTGAAAGTAAAACCTGGCGAATTGATGTACCACAGAGCTGTTCAATCCCCCGGCAGGTGCAATGAAAATGAAGGTTTGGATGTTGTGTATCCTTTATTTGCAAGTCATTATTAAAAGTCAGCCAACCTTACTTCTATAGGTTGGAACTTTCAAAGATGGTGGCTTTTGTATAAGTTGAAATCAACGCAAATACTTCTCCTATTTTTATTCCAATGAGACTGAAATTGTTAGGTGATATCAGAATCAAACATAAGGAAATTATGGATTACTTTGTGCTTCAAGTCTCATTTACATTAGTAGAATATCCCCAACAGTTTATTTATTTCGAATATGCAGAATATAATGAGTAGAGATCTCAGACAAAATTTAATCTTTTTGCATTAAATTATTAATTTAATCAAACTTCTTTTGCATAAAACTACTACAACACAAATATTTCTTGATTCTCAGTTATGGGGTCATAGTATTTTCATGGTTATATAAGAGCTACCTATTCTAACATTGATACGGAGCCATTTGCATTCCAGTGATAGCAAACTAGAGCATGAAAATGATGTCTATGAAACAGAAAACTAGATTATTTTATAGAATACTTCGTTGAGTTTAATTAGAACACAAGTAATGTTACCAGTTATCAAAATGCACAGAAGTTACATGAGCAGAAAATATCTCACTTAGTCATTGCATTTTTTTTTCTCCACTTCCCAGCCATGAATGGACCAAAGATCAAACCATTGCATAAGAAATTCTTGATTTAGTGACCTACTGCGAGGATTGAATCATTTGTTGACGTTGTGTAAGAAGAACTACTTCCCACCAGTGAATGAAATGACACAACATTGTTAGGAGGTTCATTACGTGTTGTGAATGACAATGCTACCAGGTGGTGTATTAGGTAACATCGCACCACCATCCAGATACAGTATCACCTGCTTCATGCTAGGCCTAGTTTATGGGTTAGAGTCTGAACAATAGATGCCTAGTTTCAAAACCAATTCCATTTGCTCCTCAATGTATATACCTTCCAATCTAGGGTCACTAGCATCAATAATAGCTCCTCTTTTCAAGAAATCTGTGACCCAATCAGCCAAATCTTTTTTACTAGGCTCCATAGCCATAGGCCTCCTTTCACAAGCAACCTCGAGCATAAAAGCTCCAAAAGCAAATACATCTGTGCTAGTAGTTGCTTTTCCAGTTTTAAAAAGCTCTAGAGCCAGATAACCTATGGTTCCTACCAGGTTGGTGGTTTGTGGGTCGCTGCCTTGATCATATAATCTAGCGAGGCCAAAATCTCCCAACTTCCCATTTAGATCGACATCTAAAAGAACATTAGCAGGCTTTATGTCTATACGCAAAACAATTTGTTCCCACTCTTCATGAAGGTAAAGAAGGCCATAAGCTACTCTGATAATCTGGAACCTCTGAAAGCAATTAAGGTTTGGCTTCAAATTTCCATATGAGATTTTGTTAAGGCTTCCATTAGGCATATAATCATAGACTAATAGTTCTCCCTTTCACCTACAATAGCCGAGGAGTCGTACGAAGTTCCTGTGCCTTAGTTTTCGCATGCTTACAATCTCAGCCACAAATTGCCTCATCCCTCCAACTGAATCATGAGTGACTCTCTTGACCGCAATTTACAAATTAGAAGAAAGAAGTACACCTCTGTAAACCTTTCCAAAATCTCCTTGTCCGATGAGCTCTTTGTCTTTGAAACCTTTGGTTGTTTTGTAAAGAATCTTATAGGAGATCCTATGAGGACCATATTCTTTTTCCCAGTCTTCATTTACTTCTTCATATTTCTTCTTCCTCACAATGTAAACGGCTACACCAATTGTTATTAGCACAACTACAGTAGCTCTAAGGGAAACAACAGTTGCACGATCTAGTACTTTATTGCTTCCATTTTTGGGTGGCGAAAGAGATGGAGGAAGCTTGGAAATATCAAGATTTTAAGCTTGCCCACTCCTGTTAAAGCTCCATCCCAGAGTATACTGGTCACTTACTCGTGTACTAGTTGATGCACAGAGACCAACATATATGGAGTCCAAGAGAATTTGAAAAAGATCAATGGGTGTTGACAAGAAGAGGTCTGTTCGGTTTTGGGATTCCCAAGGGAGCTAGTGTTACATTGAGGAACTTTTCAGCTCCATTGTAGTCAATCCAAATCTGAATTGGGTCTCTACCTGCTAGCTGCAGTAGATTCATTAGACTTCAAGCTGTTCATATCGACTCCCACATGATTTCCATTTATATCCTTAAATTCGGGGCTTTGTACAGTGTGAAGCTCAACTGCTAGGATATGATTTGTAGGCAGGCCATTGTTTGATAAATTGAACAGCCCCAAATATGGACCAGCAATAGCTTCCCTCATGTTCTTAGATGATGAGATGAAGAAAGACATGCCATTGCCACCAAAATTAAGCGTTTTTGAAACTATGCCAAATACAAAAGTTGTGGAAAATGAAAGAGATTGAGGGGATGATATGTTGAATTTGAATGGAAAAGGGTAGAAAGCATGGCATATTTGTAGCTCAGAAGTATTGGTTAGCTACAATAGATCTTTGGAGTGGATCTTTGCGATGCCATCCAAATCCAGTTTTGTTTCACTGAAACCATGATAGATGAATTGGTTTTCATCTTGAGCCAAGGCCAAAGAAAACAAGGATAAATTGAAAATTACCAAAAAATTAATTGATCTATGAGCTGCAGCCATTGAAATAACAAATCTGAAAATCCTAATAAATTAGTTTTCCTACCCTGAAGATACTTTTTCAGAGTTAAGGTTAATTATCATCTAGAAAGAGAGTAAGATAAATCAAGTCGATCCTATAAGTTATGGTCAACTAATTGTTGAAGATGGTGATAATTTGCAGGAAATGCAAAATTATTTAGTTAGGATTTTAAACAGCTTTTTGGCGCCAAGAACTCAAGTTTCTATTCAGGTGTAGTGGTTGAAGCTGTTGTGGTTAATACATCATTGTGATGTTTTTGTGATGTTTAGTTGAGATTAAGACATGTCTTGTTGTAAGTTTATTTTAAATTCAAACGTGTAAAACCTCATCCACTACATTAGGATGTTTAGGTAAGAACATTGGATTGTTTTGTATATATGCTATCCATGTTTTATGAATGAAAATAGAACACTCATTTTTACAATTGCAGCCGTCCTTTTCCATTGCAAAATTTCTCTCCTTTATCACTCTCTAGTTGTTTCATCTAAACCAACAATTGGTAGCAGAGCTGTAATTGGTCTTAAAGGCTTGATACATTCATCTCTTTCCATCCAACTCCTAAACATCTGTTACGATGAAACCTTTGTTAAACTCTAATATGCTTGATACAATGGCACAATACACAACTTATCTTACTCCTCCAATCTTCAATAGTGAGCAATACCATATGTGGGCTATCAAAATGAAAACCTTCTTGAGGGGACAAGGTTTATGGCAATATGTTGAAGAAAATAAGCAGCCACCTGTATTGGGCCCAAACCCCACGTTGAATTAGATCAGGCTTCATGAGCAGGAAGCTACTAAAGATCTTAGAGCTTTATCTCATATCCACACAGCTGTAATAGAATTTTTTTTTTACAAGAATCATGGCGTATGAGACAACCAAGGAAGCATGGGACAAGCTCAATGAAGATTTTAGTGGTAGTAATACAACCAAGAATATGCATGTATTAAACTTAATGAGGGAGTTTGAGATGTTAAAGATGCAAGAATCAGAATCAGTAAAGGAGTATGTAGATAGGTTGATGAATGTGGTGAATAAAATCAAGTTGTTGGGTGAGGAAATGATAGACAAGAGAATTATGGAGAAAGTTTTGGTGAGCCTACTCGAGAGGTTTGAGTCCAAGATTTTTTCACTTGAGGACTCTAAAGATCTATCTCAAGTCACACTCATTGAATTGGTACACGCTTTGCGAGCTCAAGAGCAAAAGAGATTACTGAGACAAGAGGATTCAAGTGAGGGTGCAATGGTGGCAGCCTTTAAAGGCAAACCTAGTCAAGGAGGAAGTAAAAGGTTTGCTAGAGATAAGAAAGGGAAGGAGAAAACAAGTAACTAGTGGAACAAATCAGGTGGAATGAAGGATTTTCCACTGCGTTCTCATTGTAAGAAGAAGGGCCACTCTGAAAAAAGGTGCTGGCATAGACCAAATCTCCAATGTAGAGCATGTAAACAATATGGTCACATTGAAAAAGTGTGCAAAAACAAGACAAACTAGCCACCACAGCAAGCCCAGATTGTTGAAGATCAAAAGCCAAATTCAGAATCTGAGCAATTGTTCATGCATCTTGCTATGCAACTCAAGGCTGATAGATAGTGGTTGTACCAACCACATGACGGCAAACTTGCAAGATTTTGTCAACCTAGATAGGGCATACCATTCCAAAGTTAAAGTTGGAAATGAAGAGTTCGTAGATGTCAAAGGGAGAGGAGATGTTGTTGTGCAGACAAGGTCAGGTATTAAATTCATCCCTAATGTCTTGTATGTGCCAGATATAAGTCACAATTTACTTAGTGTAGGACAAGTGTTAGAAAGGAATTATGTCCTGCATTTTCAAGACCAGCCCTACACGATTCTGGACTATGAAGGTAGTGAACTAATGAGGGTTAAAATGATGGGAAAAAGCTTCTCTATTAGGCTGAAAAAACTAGAACCTAAAGCCCATACTATTGAAGTAAATGAGTTTGAGTTATGGCATAAGAGATTTGGCCATTTCAATTATCACGTTCTTAGAGAAATTCAGACCAAAAATCTTGTCTATAACCTACCAAAAATCGAAAAAGCTAAGGCTGTATAGGCTACTTGTCAACTAGACAAGATGAATAGATAACCATTTCCTGTGAACAAAGCTTGGAGAGCTGCTAAGAAGCTCCAACTTATCCACACAAATGTGTGTGGACCTATGAAGACACCTTCACTAAATAGGAGCAAGTATTTTGCCTTGTTCATTGATGATTGGTCCATGATGTGCTGGGTCTATTTTTTGAAACAAAGGAATGAAGTTGCAACTGTGTTCGGAAGATTCAAGCTCCAAGTTGAAACCAAACTGGTCTTAGTATCAAAATAGTAAGAAATGATAATGGGAGTAAGTACATTTTAGATGAGTTTGAATCAATTTGCAGGCAGGTTGGAATTATGCATCAATTTAGCAGTCCCTATACTCCACAGCAAAATGGAGTCAGTGAAAGAAAAAATAAGACTGTTATGGAGATGGCTAGGTGAATGGTTGCTGAGAAGAAGTCGCCCAAGTCCTTTTGGACAGAGGCAGTGAACATAGGGGTTTATTTGCTCAATAGACTTCCCACCAAGGCCTTAGTTAATCAAACTCCCTATAAGGCTTGGTATGGAGTGAAGCGTACGGTTGAAAATCTAAGAATCTTTGGAAGTATATGTTATGCACTCATCCCAGCAGTTAGGAGAAGCAAGTTGGATGACAAAGCCATGATAGGAATCTTCATTGGCTATAGTGAGCAGTCCAAGGCCTACAGAGTCTATGTTCCAGAAACTAAGAAAATTCACATCACTAGAGATGTGAAAGTAGATGAAAATGGTGTCTGGAACTGGGAGAAAAATGAGATTGAAGAAGACTCAAAGGGGCAGTTGACAGTGTTAGAGTAGATGCCCTAGAACCAATCAATTATTGTAGAATTGACTCTTTGTAATAATGTTCATTAATCAATAATAAAAGGCATTTTATTCTATATCGCGTAAATCATTATTATTGCAATATGTATTGATATATGTCCTTAGAATAGTAGAACTGTGACGAGGGTATCAAGTGTTTCAGATCTTGATAGTGAGAACTCTATGAGCACATATGGTAGCCATTCTAGAAACGTCCGTAGCCCCAGTATTTTTCTGAAGTAAGGGCACAGATAATACGGTAAGGCTATCATAGTGTTGAATGACCCTGTCGAAAGGCAGTGACTGATCTCACTTGTCAAGGTTGTTTGGTGACAACCTGGTGCAACACATGGGTGCTTGTTGTAGGCGGATATACCGCAGCAAGTTCACTGGACTGACCCACCAGAGGATTCCATATGGATGGTAACCCCAGTGTCTATGGAACAAATCCTCTAACGAATGGTGGTGCATGTGATCCTTAGACTTGAGATCACAAGAGCGCCTTATGCACGATTGGTACGGTTTGACACTAGCCTATGCAGTTCTATTCAGAGCTATCAGTACGGTGGTGATTGGCTATATCAAGGAGTATATCATGACTATGGTGGATTGACAAAGGATTCATCACTCCCGGTACGGGAGAAGTTATCTCATGGCGCAATTTGGTATATGGCAATGACACTAAACTGTGGCCACAGTGGGATTGAGTTGCTACTCTATCCAGATTATAATCGGGTCATTGGTCCAGAAATTGAATATATAAATCGAGAGTACCGAAGGTTGACACTATTTCTATGCCTCGTCTCATCGAGATAACATATGATGAAAGGATCGAATTGTACGGTAACCATATCGTTGATAGGTAGCTACTTTGCTGAATCCGAATCTATCGGGTGGTCATGATGCCTTGTTAGGGGCCAATTTTGGTCTGTGATAAGTGAAACGATTAATTGGTGTTAATCACGATACTATACACTATCGGTAGATGAGGAGCCTATGGGTCACACACATAGAAGATAATTTAAGAGCCAAGAAGAAAGAAGGCGTTTTCGTCTTTTTGGGCGAAAGGTTATTTTGGTAATTTTACAGTGCAATTAAATTTGCTGAGGTCGTAGCATTTATTTAATTTGTTAGGAAATTAAATAAGTGAAATTCCGTTTAAATATTTGTTCGCATATATTTAAATAAATTATCTTATTGTTAAATGTTATATTATATATATATTATATTAATATATATTATTGATTTTTAATTGAAATAATGATGAAATAAATAAAATACTATTTGGGAGTGTTGGCAACATGGGGTGTTTGGGTTGGAGCCCACCCATCCCATGGGGGAATAGGGTATTAAGGTTTTCTATAAAAGAAAAATGTTTATTTGTAAAACACAACTTTTAGCTCATTTTGATTGTAAAACCAAAACACAGCGCCCCCATTTACTCTCACTCTCACGCCACTTTTGCTTTTGCAAGAACCAAAGTTCTTCTTTGGTTAGTTCTTCTTTGGTTTGTTCTTCTTGATTTCTTAGGCCAAGGAGGATCTAGCAAATCCTCATTGGTTCTTGTTGATTGTCTTTGTGTGTACCTCTACGGTTCGACCTACACTTGGATCGGTAGCAAACACGTTCAAAGACAATATTGGGGGAGCCTCCAAACGTGGGTAATGATCAAACTTTAGATTTATTTTATTTCTGCAGATTCTTGATATTATACATAAACTGTAAAATTTGTGCCT